AGGAGGCCGGGGGTCCTGGAGGCAGGGGAAGGGAGTTGGGAGAGGCCCAGTTTTCTGTCTAGGTGTCCCACCATCGAGGGCCAGGATCGTATGGTGTGGTGAGGTCAGCCTTCGATGTGGTGAGTTTGGGGTGGCAGCGGGGCAGCCAAGGGGAGATTCCTAGGAGGCTGTGGGCTCCAGGAGAGCCCACGAGAGGCTGTGGGGTGGAGCCCGGCCTGTGGGCATCTGGGAGACATGTGTGGAGAGAAGGTAACAGAAGCCACAAGTGGGCAGACTTGCCCAGCGGGAGTGAGAAGCCCCACCGTGAGCACCAGCTGAGTAGAACAGAGCGAAAGGGGAACTCACCCTGGAACCGTGTTCAGGTGCCACGGTGGGCGGGGTGGGGGCAGTGTCACAAAGGAGTCAAGATGTTTCTGGAAAACCCACCAGACTCAGGCACTAACACACCCACAGCCCGAGCCTGGGAAGGGCAATATTCCCAGCAGCAGATATTGGGCAAGGCGCCCCTCATGGTGATGGCACGCACCTCTCTCTGGAGGTGCTGCGGTGGGAGGAGGCCAGCCTCGGCATGGCCAACTCTGCCTTGAGCACCTCCTACCTCCTGGATTGCCCAGGGTTCCCTCAGCCTGCTGGTCTCCCTGCCCAGCTCCTGTGGCCCATGCCCACTGTCTATCCCTCCGTAACCCCCTACTAGGTCAGTTCCCTCAGCCCTTTCCCTGGGCCACAGGGCTGGTTACTCTCCTGCATCATTTATGTCCCCCTCTTATCTGCCCGATTCGGGCACGAATGCCCCGGGGCAGAGGCTGCCTGGTCCTGTGTTGGATGGACCATGTCAGGTCCCTGCTTGAAACCCTCTAGGCCAGAGGAGTTTGGATTCAAATGTTTGTTTTGCCATATTGTAGCTGTGTGACCTTGGCCAGCTTGTTTAGCCTCTCTGAGCCTCAGCTTCCTTCTCTGGAAGTGGGAGAAGAGGGCCGTCTCACAGCGTTTTTGGCAGGATTAGAGGAAATGCCCTGCCCAGTACACTTCAGTCCTCCACAATGGTTAATCACATCTCCCTCAAGAAGCAGCGCCTGGGAGCATGCGACTGTCTTCCCAAGAGACCACCCAAGGGTCCTGCCAGGAGGAATTTCCCAAAGATGACAGCCAAGCCCAAGACCGGAGACCCCCCTGCCTACATTTGACTCTTCCTCCTCCAGAAGCCCCTCCAGGCCACTCTGGGAACGGGAGCACTTGGCCCCACCCTGCAGCACTCCACCCCAGCAGGCCTCCTGCCACCCCTGCTAGACACCTCAAGGAGGTCACGCCCACCCCTACTAAACGTTATTCTCTGGCCCCAGTAGATGCTCGCCATTCCCCAAATTCATCCTGTTCTTTTCCACCCTCAGCCTGTGCACATGTTGTTCTCTCCGCCTGGAGCGTCCATCCTTCCAGCAAACCACTTCTCATCTTTCAGGGCCTGACCCAGCTTAGAAACACGATTGTTGAACTGAGCTAAACGGAATGAGGGAGAAGAGAAGGCGGGGGGGGGGGGGGGGGGTCTCCGGTCTTGGGCTTGGCTGTCATCTTTGGGAAATTCCTCCTGGCAGGACCCTTGGGTGGTCTCTTGGGAAGACAGTCGCATGCTTGAGGGCCAGCTGTTGCAGGCCTCCCAGGCGCTGCTTCTTGAGGGAGATGTGTGTAGGGGGGAGGAGGAGGCCAAGCACTTTCTGGTGGTTTCCAGGCTGGGTCAGGGACCCTGTGCTGGGACTTTCTGTTCCTGGTTCTGGCCCCAGTTACCCCATCTAGACCCAAGATGACCCTAAAAAATGATGAGAACCTGGGGGGAGGGTGAGCCCTGAGCCCATAAGGGATGCAGGCCAGTGTCCTTAGGCCTAAATGTGGAACCTCAGGCTCAGAGATAGGAGGCATTGGCCAAGGCCGTGTACCTCCCCCAGCCACTAGTCCCAGCTCATCTGCTCTGTGCTCACGTTTACTCCCTAAGGGCCCCATCTCCTCACGCCATATCAGGAGTCTCCAGTCCTAGATTAGAGGCTTCCAAAACAGCTGGAGGGAGGGAAGGAATGTCATGGGAGGCTTGGAGAGGAAGGAGGACTTATGCACTCAGTGCGCCACCTCTGCCCAGCCTGTGTGAGTTCTGGGGCCTCAGGAATGGATCAAATCAAGCCCTGCTCCCAGGGAGCTCCCAGGCTGGTGAGGCGGGCATTGTTCTCTCTCCATCCTTTCAAGCATTAGTGCTTCGGGCTCTGGGCTGCAGCCCCTGAGGGGTGGCAGGGACCAAGTTTACTTCTTCCGCACCCCCAGGGTGTGGCTGAGGCCCAGGCTGGCAGCTGGAGATAGCCAAGGCCCCGTAACACTGATGAGGAGACCCGGCCCTACCCCTACAGAGAGGCCTCTGCTCCACGGCTCCCTCTAGAGACAGAAGACAGGGCTTCTCAGCACTGAAAGGGACCAAGTGACTGCCTTGGCCAACCTGTCCATCTACTGCACAGATGGAGAAAGGGAGACCCAGGAAGGGACAGAAGTGGACTGGGGAGTGGATGCCTGGCACCCAACTGTGGGGTCTAGGCAAGCTCACCAACTGGTTCACAGCTGCCTGTGTTCTGGCCCAGCCGGCAAGGCCCAGCTGGGAGAAAATAACTCAGCCTCCCCCTACCCACTCCCCAGTTGTAACACCCAGAGAACAGCTTGCTTTGCCTGGAGCCAGTGGAGAAGCACCCAAGGCAGGTGGCCCCTCACCAGTGTGAGGTCTGCGGAAGGAAAGGGGAAGCCCCGAGGGCAATGGCACAAAGAGGAAAGAGCTTCGGCATCAGGCAGATCTGGATTCTGGCCCCTACTCTCCTGCTTGTTTGCTCGGTGACCTCGCTGAGTCACTTGCCCTCTGAGCATGTTTCCTCACCTTTTATAAAGTGTTAGAGCTTGTCACTGCATTCTCCTAAAGCCAGTGATGCAGAGCCGAAATTTGAACCTAGCACTGTTGGTTCTTTCCCTCGCCCCACCTGGATGGGCTCACATTTGAACCCAGAAAGGCCGGAGAGAACAATAGAGGCAACACCAGGAACAAGGAAGGATGAGCCACAAATAGGGGTCAAATAGCATATGGGGGAGAGGTGACTTTCAGTTTGGAGAATCCCTCTGGAAGGCTTCCTGGAGGAGCTGGTGTTCGGAAGAGTTGGAAAACAGGGCAAATTTCCCCAGAAGGGGATGTGGGCAGGTGCTTTCCTGGTGGAGTTAAAGCTGAGCAAAGGTGCTGAGGTGGGAGAGCAGCTGCTCGGAATCACCAAAGGGGATGAGAAGGGCCTTGGGAAACCATTTTCTCCAGCCCCTCCCCCACAGACAAGGAAGCTCTGCCTGTTGCCCAAGGGCACGTGGTGAGTTGACGGTGGGGCCCCGCTGGGTGCCAGATCAGACTGCCCCCGGGCTGGGACAGCTGGCCCCTCTCTCTGGGGGTGGGAGCTGAGCCCAGGACTCTTCCCAGGCTCCGGGCTCTGTATCCTGCCTGACTGAGTTCCCACATTCCTCAGAGTGCCCTCACACCAGAAAGGGAGAACAGGGGAAACCTGGCCACCGCTCAGGGCAGGGCTCAGGAAGCCAGACCAGAGGTGGCTTCTGGTGGCTGGTGGGCAGACACTGGGGTCAGCCTCCTGCTGTGTGTATGGGAGTAAGGGGGCAGCTAGAGAATATTGCAGAGCTGAGCTCTGCAGAGGTCAGAATAACAGTCTTGGGGACAGGAGACAGGGGGCAGATGCAGTACAGCCAAAGTCTAGTTTCTTCCATACCCATAGGATCATCAACCCTCCCATCCTGTAGCAAGCCAAGGTGGATCCGGAATTTGGTTTGTCAGTGGTGAATCTCCAAATCAACCCACCCAAATCTGACCTCATTGTCATCTCTCCTGCTAGGCCCCCAGAGGAAGCATCCACCCCACCTTTCCTGCCATGTCACCATCCCCAAGTTGTGGCTGCAACACAGCTGTGTCTGCCTGCTCCGCCCATGAAGCCCTGACTGCCACGCGCAGGGGTGCAAGTCTGGCCCTGTCTGAGTGGGTGTGAGTCTAACACAGGCAGCGGAGGACAGGCAGCTGGAGGAAGGCCAGAGGTGATGGCCGCAGGGTGTCCAGCCCAGAAGGCCACTCTGTCTAAACACCCTTTGTTTCTTCTACCTCCCTCCGCCTGCCCAAGAAATGCTCAGCTGGGCGCTCCGCTCCCAGAACCACCGCCCTCTCCACATGGTGCTTTGGCCAGGCTCCAGGCCTGGCTCCTCAAGACTTTAAGACATTTCCCCTCTGGCCTCCTCTCCACCCCACGGCCAATGCATGCACAGAGGTCTCTGCAGGTCTCTCTCTGACTCCACTTCTCTTCTGTGCTGATGTTCCTGTTTCTCCGTCTGCAGGTCTGTCTGTCTGTCTTTCTCCTTCTCTGTCTCTGCCTGGTTCTCTCTCGCACTGTCTCTGCTTCTCTTTAGCGCTCCCGGTCTCTCCTGCAGCCCTCTCTCTGGGCTGCTCTCCTTCCCTTCTCCAGCACGCTCCTGCAGACACCTGTTGGTCCTCGTCTTCTCACTGTTTCCTCCTTCCATCCAGGCCTTTGTCTGACTCTGCACGTCTCCGGACTTGCTCTGTCTCTGACTATTCTTCTCTCTCTCTCTGTTTTTCTCTACTTTGTCTGTCTCTATCTGCTGTCTTCAGAGAGGGGGAACAGGGGTGGTGAGGGGCTCGGGAGCCTCCCTTTCCATCACCCTCTCTGTCTCATCGGAGAGGTTAGGCTGGGTTCCTTGCCTCCAGCTGAGTAAACAGCGTCCCTTCCTGCCCCTCAGGTCATTCACTCATTCATGCAATGTACCTTCACTGGGTCCGGCCATATTCCTGACTCTGTGTAGGACACTGGGGGACCCCCTTCTCCACCCAAGACACCCATTTTGGCTCTGAAGCCTCTCCCTCTACGCTGGGAACATGGTCCCCAGACTCCCTCCCAACACCCCTCCCTTACTTCATCCACACTTACCTATCCTGGGTCCCATGACCACTGCGTGCAGTGAGTTCCAGCCCCTATTGCAGTTTCAAGACAGGAGCTGAGCAGGAGAAATGGAGTGAGACCTTATCGGGCGCTCCTGGAGACAGCAGCCGCGAGCCACAGCGCAGGGCTGTGCGAACCTGGGGACTCCACGCGCTAGGCTGGTGCCTCTTGGGCCACGCTGGATAGCAGCCACCTCTCCCAGGTTTGGGTTAGGAAGTCCTGTTCAACTTGACCCCACTCTCCAAGCGCCTGTCTCCCTCAGTCACTTGTTCCTTCCCTCTCTGTGAATCCCTCTGATCTCTGGCGGGGGCAGCTGGGGCAGAGTTGAATAGGAGGCTGGGTTTGTTTAGATCCAGCCCCACTGATGGGAGGAGGCTGCTGTCTCCCCCGCTCAGCCAGTTCCTTCCAGCCTCTTGACTGGGATATTTTCTCCTGCTCTGTTGGCAGTGGAGAGGCCGGAGCAGAGGGAATGTCTTGGGTCTCCTCAAGCCCTGGGATCATTCAGTCCTGATTCTCCAGTCTCCTCACTGTGTTCCCATTCTTGATCTGAGCTCCTCTTCCACTAAGCTCTTGTCCCCTCACAGAACTTTTGTCACCTTCCATGAGCCCCATGGAGAGTCCCTGTTCCCCCACTGCCATCCTTCACTGAACCACTGTCCCTCTTGAGCTCTCATCTTCTCTCACTGAACCTCGTCTCCTCTTTGAGCTCCAAGGATCCAGAGCAAAGAGGGACTCTGACTACTGGGAATCACAAAGGCCAGCCCTCCTTGGGGAGACTCCATCTCGGTGATGGGGAGGGGAGTGCAGAAGAGCAAACATGAAATTCGCAGTTTTCTGGACTGAGGACTGAGGATGGAGGCCTTGGAGCCAGACAGACCTAGATCCCATCTCAGCCCTGTCAATCACTGGCCGAGTGACCTGAGGCAGGTCCCTGCACCTCTCTGAAAGTCAGTTCCCTCATCTACAAAGAAGGACAACATTCCTCACCTGCGGGGCTGCTGTATGAGTTCAGTGAGCGAGACAGAAGCCAAGCCTGAAGGCCTGGGGTTCCGAGAAGGGAGCGGCTGAGGCGGGGCTCCAAACAGGGCAGCAGGAGAGAAAGCCCAGCTGCCCCAGCGCTTTCCCACCTGAGGCCCTCCTGCTGGCCCCTAGGTGAGTTATTTATGCCATTTCACAGATAAAGCGTTGATTCTTGGAAACTGCCCAGAGCTCACCCAGCTCGTCGTAGGTGGGACCATGATGAACTTTGAACCTCTGATACTAGAATCAGGTTTTTTCCTCCAACCAGGCTGTATTTTCTGAGGAAGACCTCTGGATTTCCCCAAATCCAAGACACAGAAGTGAACCTGACCCAGATCCAGGACTAGGGTCTTCGCATGCAACGGGGGTGTGGGTTTGAGGTCCCACTTTTGGGGTGCTGTGCTAGAGAAATACGCATCAGCCCCACTTGGCTCTCATGGCTGTGTGAGGGTGTTAGTAGGAAGCGGGTAGTATCTGAAACAATCGCGGGCCAGGCTGGCACAGGGTAGGCACTCAATAGATGCTTTTGGGCGAATGAGTCTTTGAGAAATCAGATGTGTGAATGCGTGGACACCGCCCTGGGGAAGGTCAATGGTTGGCTTGGGTTGATGGAAAGACCAGCCCCTGATCCTGCTTGAGAAAATCAAATGGAGTCTCTCTAAATCCTTCAGACTGAAGTCAGCACGGCACATCCTCACAGAGGTTGGCAGAGCTGCAAACTTCCAGAGTGCAGGTGCACGGCTGAGACAGGGAAGGTCCCTTTAGACCTTCTGGAAGCTCAGTTGCCTCCATCTTGGCCTCAGAGGCTGAAGAAGTTCTACACCTAGATTGGTCTGGGTACGTGCTAGGACCAGCTTGCTGGCTAAGTTCATCTCATCAATCTTTGTGTGCAACAATGCACAACACCCCACAGGGCATGGAACAAACAGGAACCTCAGGCAGGAGTGGTCCTCATTTATCACCTCAGCCTCCCTAGGCTGACAGAACCTGGTCCAAGAATATTCCGGAACTCAGCTGTGGAATTGGAGCAGGGGCCAGGTACCTGGGAGCCCTGGGACTTAGGCTAATGCTTGGGCTAATCCTGCCGTGAGGTCCAGGTGGCCCAGGCTGGAGGTTCGACCAACCCAGTCTGCAAGCATCCTTGCCACTTGCCAGCGTGGTGTTTGCTGGGCCCTGTGCATTTTACACAGTCCCACAATGTGTGTGGATCGCATCCCCATCTGTGGATTCCCGCAGTGTGCGAAACCTGACTTCTTTTGGAGAGTCCCATGCTGTCGGCAAGCCTGGCACGGTTTGCAGCGCTCTGTAGCTTCCAGGCTGCAAGTTGTTCACACAGTCCTGAGTCTCATGCCGAGCCTGGCGCTGTTCGTAGAACCTGGGGCTGTTTGCAGAAGCCAAGCCCTCCTCCCCCTCTTTATGTCAACCCACGTAGGGAAATGCCTTTTTGCAAACCAGGCAAAATTGGAGACTTCATTTTATAGAACTCTCTGAGTTTGGGTACAAGGGAAGTCCTGGGCTCCAGACTATCGACCTCAGTTCTGGTGCCAGTTCTGTTGTGACCTTGCTCTGGGACCTCGAGCAAGTGTTTTCTCCTCCCTGAGTCTCAGTCTTCTCATCTGTTAAATGGAGATTGTGACGTCAACCCGCACCCCTTCAGGACTGTCGGGAGGACCGCTGTGAGGATGCCCAGGAGAGGGGGCAGGGGCGCGAAGGGGAAGAGTGGCACAGAGGCTCGTTCCTGAGCGAGGCTCCAAACCGCCACCTCAGCACCTTTGCTCCCACTTCCCTTTGGCCTGGCAGCTGGGGAGCGGATATCTATAAATGAGCGCTAGGCCAGGCAGTCAAGCAAGGGCCTCGGGCAGAGCCGCAGCCGTCTCCATCCCCAGATGCTGCCTGGGGGCCAGACCCCAAGCTGTGCAGACATGCTCCCATGCGGGGCCCATTTAATCTGCCCAAGGAAGACGTGTCATACTTATTTCCCCCATGACACTGACACTGATGCAGACATTCAGAGAGGCCACGTGACTTGCCCAGGGCTATGTGTCGAGTATACAGCAAGGGCTGGGATCTGAGCCAAGGATGGCAAAGATGGACGCCTGATCCTCAGAAGGTCAGAGCGGGAAGGAACTTGGGGCTCATTTAATTCAACCCTTCCCTTTTCCAGATTAGGAGACTGAGCTGGGAGAGGGGCAGGCTCTGCTGTGTCATGACCAGAGGGAAGTCACTGTCTCTCCCTGGGCTGTAGTTTCTCTCGTTGGTAGATGAGAAACAGACTTCATCTTGCCAAGGGTTCAGGACTTTCCCTTTCTTTGTTGGCGTGGCTCCTGGGCCAAAATACAGCAAATTTCCCCACCAGCTGAGGAGAAGCACAGGTCTGCAGGCAGCTGGGAGTGCGCCTGGCTTCTCAGCCCCACTCACTTGGCCTCAGCACAGCCCCTGTCTCCCCCAGCCCACCCAGCCTCGCATGGTCCGTGCTGCACTTTCTCTACAGCTTAAACTCCACCTGGAGCCTCATCCTCGGGAAGCCTTTTTGCCCAACAGCAGCCTTCCTCTGAGTCCAGCTGCCTCCACCTCCCACCAGCCTCAACCTCCAGTCCGGAGAGAAAACTACTCTGCCAGAAACTCTGCATCGCCCCCTGACAGTGGCAGCCCTGTGCCCTAGAAAGAGCATGAGCTTGGGGGTCAGACAGTTCAATCCTGACCCAGTAAGAAAATCTCTGAGACTGTTTCCTCATCTGTAAAATTGAGGTGACAGGAATCCTCCTGGTGGGGCTGCGCTAAACTGGATCACCTCTCCTTGTCTTCAAGTCGGTATATGCGTAGTTCTCTCTCCCGGGAGACTGTAAACTTCCCTGAGGCCTAGCTGGGTGACCTGAGGCGAGTCACTTGCCCTCTCTGATCCTCAGTGCCCTTGTCTGTGAAATACCTTTCCAGGGCTATCATGAGGCTCAGATGAGCTGATGGATGGATTATTGCTTGCTAAATTCAGACAGCTGAGCACACACGAGCCATTATTGATATGGTGATGATGGCAATGACAATGACTCTCATAATTCTGGAGGCAGAGGATGAGGAGGAACTAAATTAGGTGCGTACCAGTTCCGTCTGACCTGACTGACAACGCTGTGGGAGTAAATCAGTGGGAGGGCCCCCTGAGGTGGGAGGGAGCTCAAGGGCAAAATCGGGGCTCGGCAGGCAGGTGCTGTCGTTAGCAGCTGCTGTCCGTGAGTGCCGCAGGACTGTGCCCTCTCACGAGGTCCAGGCTGAGCACTGGCTGGCCCACGGTCCCCAGCCTGGCTCTGCCACCAACACACTGGTCCCATTTCCTGCCTGACCCTTGGTTTCCTTACTGTAAAATGATGTTGGGGGGTAAGAGGAAGGATCTCATTCTGCGGTGCCCCTGTCTTTGGGGAAGGACCATGTGAGCTAATGGATGTACCACTGCCTTTGTAAAGCGTCAAGTGTGGGGCATGAGAGATTACAGTTATTAATAATTTGGCTCCTGGGAGAGAGGATGTGGGGGAGGGGGTGCGGTGAAGGCTGGGAGAGGACACAGAGGGGAGCGAGCATCCGCCCCCTCAGCGGCAGGTAGTTGGGACCTGGGCCTCAACTCTCTGAAGGCTTTGCAACACTGCCCCCTGGGGACCAGAGAGGAGGTCTGGGCCACCTGCTTGTCCTCCAAGACAGCAGTCAGGGAAAGGGGGCTGGAAGGACCACTGTCAGAGGAGGTTGAAATAGACCGGCCAGAAGGATCCCATGGGTGCAGTCACTGCCCCGGTCTAGGCCACCAGCAGTTCTTGTCTGGGCCGCTCCTTCCCACCTCCAGCCTCACCCTGCAGCCCACCTTCTTGTAAGCCGGAGAGAACTTCCCAAGCGTTAAATCTGACCATGCCCCTCCTTGCTTAAACCCTGCCCCCTGAGCATGCTCAGGACCAACCCACTTTTCTCAGCCTGACGTGGAGTGCCCCTGTCTCTCTGTCTTCTGCCAGATCAGTATCTCCACTTGCAAGTGAGACGAAATAGTGGGAGGTCAAGAGCAAGGCTTTGGGGCAGGACTGCACGGCTGTGACTCCTGGCTTCTTCACTTGGGAAGCTGTGTTACTGAATTCTTTGTTTGTGGGTTGGTTTTTCTTTTTATTGTGGTAAAATACCTACAAGACAAAATTTACAATTTTAAGCGTACAGTTCAGTGGCATTAAAGCACATTCACATTGTTGTGCAACCATCGCCACCATCCCTCTCCAGAACTTTTTCATCTTCTGAAACTGAA